TTGTTTGTACTTACTTACGTTTTTTTTTTTTAATTTAAATTAAGTTCTGACTCTTACTGATCTGTAGAAGCCTTTTATATACTCTATGAGTCCTTCACTGCTTTGTCAATGTCCTTTGACACAGTATATTCACTTTGGCAAATTCATTTTGTTGTTTGTATCTCAAAAACTGAAAATAACCAAAATACTGAATCATGGGGACTTTTAAGGATCTTGTGTTCTTATTTTATTTATTTTTTTATTGATTGAAAAGATTCTTTAACTATGCTTTACAATTTTCAAGTTTCATACACATGATAAAAATACGGACTGCTTCATAAATTTGCATGTCATCCCTTTGCAGGGGCCATGATAAACTTCTCTGTATGCTCCAGTTTTACTATATGTGCTGCCAAAGCAAGCACTGTAAACAGACTTTAAAACAGTTTTAAAAAGGCACTGAAGAGCTTGAGCTGCTAGTTTTCTGCTGCTCTGTATTTCCATGAAGACAAGCTTGGGTGGCGTGGGCAGATGTTGGGGCCCTCGGGAGAACGAGGACAGGTGCTCACCACGGCAAGAGCAGCTTTACTCTTGTGTGTGTATGTTTGTGTATAGGGTTGTATAAGATTTTATTTGAAAAGGTTCTGTAGATAGAAAAGGAAGTTTGAAAATCACCAATCTATCTAAACATCCATCTGATGTCATTTTCACATTTCCACTAACCAGTCAACCAACCTATTATCTCCTGAGGCTGCCAATAACTTTGGGCAGCTTCTGACTATTGAATTTCAGTTAACAATGAGAAACAAACTTCTCTGTCTTGTGCCTTGCATACCCAGGTCCATGTTTATTTCTTAGGATTGTGCAGAACACATGCAATCTCCTTCCATTGAGAAAGTGAGACAGCTCACTTTCTGCATTTTCTCTTTCCCGTCGCATTTTAGACACTCTCCATTCAATACGCTTAAACTAGAACTAAACGCAATGTACCTAGGGGAGTCCTTCCTGTGAGGAAAGCACACGTAACACTCTTTCTCCAAAGAGCAGACACCTAGCAGGGTGAGCTCCCGTGAGTCTTTCTGCCCCGGAAGTGGCACCACTGACCCACACTGAGTTTACTGCTGATAATCAGCCCCTTGCCATCTTCCCTAGCTGCTTCAAAGCTTTGCACTGGCCTCTTTTATTCACGCAGCTGAATTTCTGAACACAAGGGCAGGATATACACATATTCCATTCACATTCTGTATTTTGAGAGTCAGTCCATTTTCTCAGTATTTGGAAATCCTTTTGAATTCTAATTCTATTATGCTATGGGTCCATGACAGAATTCCTAGCTTTCTGCCACTGAGAAATCTTATTAACACGTATTTTACACCTTCATCCAGTTCAGTAAAAACACTGAACAGGGCAAATCTGAGAAGCTATTTAACACCAGAGGTTTCCCCACAGGCAGCCACAGCCCACAGTCAGTATCCTTTAGGCACCTGACCAGTTTCTCTGTATCTAACTGCACCTTATCTTTCCCCATTCGATCTGTAAGAAAATCATTAACACCTTTAAACACATTACCTACCGTACCTGTACAGCTCTTTATGTACTGGCAAAGGTAACTGAGATGCTGTGAAGAGTACCCTTTGATAAACAACTGTTTGTATCTGGGGACCCATCAAGGGAAGATCACAGCAGCCACTGCTTTCTCACTCTAGGTGTCCATAATCTATCCCTGTAGTCATCTAGTCTAGAACCTTAGCCAGAATCAAAGCTATTCTCCCCATGTTTAGCTTATAGGAGCACTTGCTTTTCACTTTTAACTCAGGACTATGCTGTCTGGTTCTTCTGGAAACTTTCTCATTCTCTTCAATTTCTTAAACATCACTGAGAAAAACAGACTGATCTCACTGGCAGACTGTGTTACTGACCTGGAATAGTATGTAGTACACTGATTCTCAACTGAGAGTAATTCTGCCATGCCTCAAAACATTCTACAATTCCTAGAGATATTTTTGGTTGTCAAGACTGGGAAGTGCTACTGACACCCGGTGGGTAGGGGGAGGCCGGGGGAGCTCGATGCACAGGACAGCCTCCCACAACAAAGAGTCACCTGCTCCAGACGCCAAGGGTGCAAAGCTGAAGAGTCCTGACGTGGTTCCGGTCTCCTACTAACGCGGAGCCCACTGTCAGCATTCACAGCGGGAGGGCTTCCAGAACGAACACTACCAGAACAGAAACTTCAGGAGTGAATCCCTAACACTGCTGCCAAGCCTGCCCCTTCGTGCCCAGTGACCTTTCACAAGTGACTGGCCTCTAGGCCCCAGCTTCATCACCGTAAGGTGCAATTAAAGTCAACACATTTTTACCAGGTGGTGAGGATCACACGGGATAACGTGAGGTGTTTAAAAAATGGCAAAGCGCTATTTACGTTTAGGCTGTAAGTACATAATCCCATGTAGAGAGCAGATACAGGGCTATACAGCTGCTTCCCTGCAGCTCTTACCCACCGATCTCGGTTCTGTGCTTTGTAACAACACAGGACAAGTCTATTCCTCCTTCCAACATAAATTCTATCTCTATGCATATCTTCTTTTAAGCTGAACATCTCTAATTCTTGTATGATTTTCATATCCCATTTGTGTTTTTATCCTGTTGGAGGCGAGTGGAGAATGCCCTTTCTCCATCAGTTGCTATGTGTTCAAATCCTATTCTTCCCTTGAGGTCCCAGCTCAAACCTCCAACAAAAATTCTTTCACTGCAGAAAGTAACTTCTCTGTCCTGCCTCTCTCCTGAAGTTTCACAGCCCTCTATCTGAGCCACTCATGGAGAGGCAATGAGGATGAGCGTGGGCTTTAACCAAGGTTCAAACCCCACTTCTAACTCAAGGTATTGCTGTGAACAAGTTTTCGAGACTCAGATTCTTCATCTGTCAGATGAGGAAGCTGTCACTCACTTTTCACAGGACTGCTGGGACAACGTGGGACGACACAGGAAGAAAACCTGACAGAGCGCTTAGCACACAGCGGGCACCAAGTAAGCGTTCCGTGTCATTCCCACTTACTTCCTATTTGAAATAGCACTTATGTACGTCTTACTTCCTCTAAGACTGCAGATTCTCGAAGGCAGAATCATGCTGGTGTCCCTCCTAGTTCTTACAGCTTCCGTCCTGCGTGACAGCAACTCCAAGTGCTAAAATGTACTGGTGTCCAGAATATGAGTACGATACGACTCCTTGCCTCCAATCACCTTGGTTATTACACTCTGGGTACTCTCCAGTCTCTCTGTTTCCTTAAAGCTCAACCTAAAACTGGCTGATTTATTTAACTGCGTGAGTATAAAATATTATCAACAAACAGAACGATTAAAAAAAGGGTACTACAGCAAAAGTAAGATTTAACAGATTCTCACCACAGCCTCTAAAAAGTTCCTTCCTCTTTATGTCTTACGTTCAGTGAAACTCAATTCTAAATTACGATAAATGACCAGCTATCTTACCGAACTCTGAATCCTCAATGAGATTACTGCTCTTAACTTTGTAGATTACAAATAACTAGTTAATGTAATGAATGTCAGGCTAATTTTAAAATCATTGTTAAACGATGACACAATCCCATTAGACTTATGCCAAAAGAACAAAGGTGAATTTTTTTTTTTGCTTTTAGAAGGAATGATTTGCACTAATGTGTTTATGCCTGTTCATCCCTGCAGGGCCAGTGCATATTTATAGACCTGAAAGAGAGCTGGCTGGGCCAAGAGAACACAAGTCCGACCACTGCACAGAAAGAAAGGGTCAGTGGGAACGAAATAAGCTGGGTCTTACTGCGTGCATGTGCAGCCTTTAGAATGATTCCCGTTCCTGTGAGGATGCTCAGAAATACCAAGGTGTACTCTTTCATCTTACTATTAAGTGGCCAACCCTAGTTCTGGCACATCAGAGAAAATGTATTTTTCCCCAAACAGTTTTCTGATAATTACTCCTTCTGCATCTTCTGTAAATAAAGATTTATAATAAATTATATTGATTTATAAATAAATCAAGAAATTCATAATTATAGAAATTATTACCTGTTTGCCTTTACTAACTTCATTTTCACAAGTGGAATGCTCTTCGAGAATCATTCTGCACTGTGTTATTAAACTTCTCGTCTGTGAGGTTGACAAGGGATCCCAAATGAATTCTACAAAGTCTGAAACAAAAATTTTAAGTGGTGCACAATTTATTTACTAGACTTTTTTGCTTGTCACATATAAACAATCGAGGCCTTCAGCAAACACTACTTCCTTCCTTATGTGGTTTAAAATCCAGGCCAGTGAGTACCGTTGCGTATTTGTATACAACCTCAATTTTCTTGTCCTCTTTTGGCTTTGTTGAATGTGGCTGGCTAAACTGCAACCCTGGTTAAATCACTTTGTCACAGCATCTGTGCCTGCAACCACGCAGCTAAAGCGTGGCTGGAAAGAAAGACACTCTGAAGGGATCACCATCAAACGCCAGTGGGACCAGACTGCAGCCCAGCAGTCCTGTGGTCCCCTGGCCCGCTCCCTTTCCTTCCGGCCTGGACGACTGTCTCCTCCCTCTTCTCAGCTGATGGACTGCTCTTACCTTTTCTTCTCCCCACCCTTGCTCTCAGTCTCGACTGATTAATTCCCAATTTGATGAGAAAAATGGGGTCGACGAGAAGAGAAGCTCCCCAAGCTTCTGGCACAGCACGTGCGCGGCCATCTGCCTCTGCGCCCATGCACGCTAACCTGTCGCCCCTTCCTACCGACAGAGCGCCCACGCTCCGTGTCCGGCCAGCCCTTTATTTCGAAAAAAGGTCCCAATTCCTACGGCTTACTTGAAGACCCTGCCCCTGGAAATTCCACCCTCCCGCTTCGGTATCGCCATCGTTTCTACTGGGTCTCTCCCTCCACTCTACAATTACTTCTCTCATATTAAAAACACTCTCTTGACCCTACTTTCCCCTCCACTGCTGCCGTTTCCTTCCTTCACTTCACAACAAAAATCCTCAAAACAAACTGCTGAAACTTCCTCTCTCCAACTTCCCCCTCCCTTTAACTCCTGGGTTCATTCCAGTTAGGCCTTACATACAGCTTCGTACCTAAACTACTCCTATCAAGGCACAGACAGCCCTCACACTGCAAACCCTAACGGCTGGCTCTAGCCCCTCTGATCTACCAGCAACCCCTGCAGCGTTCTCCTTCCTTGGCTTCCAGGACACTGGTCCTGGCTTCCTGCCTGCTCTCTGGGCCCCTCTGCGGGTTGCTTGTCGCCTCTTCGGCTCCCTAAATGCTGGAGTACCTCAGGACTCAGGTCATTAACCTTCTTGGTTTTTTTGTTTGCTTTTGTTTTGTTTTGATATAAACAAGACTTTTATTAGTGAAGTAAAAACAAAAGCAGTGAAAGAGTACACTCCTGGGAACTGGGCGAGGGCCAGTCCAAGAGGGGAAAACGGCCTATTTTCACATCTATGTTTTCAGCCTTAGCATTTCTAGTCAGTCTTGTGGCTTTGAAGGCCATCTGTGTGCTGACGCATTACAAATGTGCATCCCCTACCACACGTGTCCTGCAGACTCTCACTCCGCAGCTCAGCTGACAGCTGCAGCTGGATGACAGACACCTTCAACCCAGCATGTGTCAAACTGCGCTCCCGATGCACCCCCACCCTAACTGGCTCCCCTCAGTCTTCCACCCCAGGGAACGGCAGCCCCATCCTTCCCGCTGCTCAGCCCGAAGCCATTTAGTCCTGGCTCCCTTCTCTCTCGTTGCGCAGGCAGCTCGTCAGCAAACCCTGCTCGTGCTGCCTCTGACACATACACACAATTCGCCCACTTCTCAGCACCTCCACTTCTGAAACTCAAGCATAAGCTACTGTTACCTGCTGCTCGGATTACTGCAAAAGCTCCCTAACGGGTCTGCCTACAGCTCATTCTCAACACAGCAACAGAGGGACTCTACTGAAATGTCAAGGCAGATCATGCAACTTCTCCCCAACTGCTCCTCTCTCCCACGGTCACTCACAGTGAAAGACAAGGTCCGTGCAAGCGACTGCAGGCCCGCGTGACACAGCCCCTGCCGCCCTGCGGACCTCTTCTCACGCTCCCTCTTGCCCCTCTACTGAAGTTATGGGGCCTATGTGCTGGCTTTCAAACAGAGCAGCTTCTGCCTCAGGGCTTCTGCACTTCTGCTCCTGCTGCCCTGAATGCTATTCCCTTACACACTCGTACGGCCCTCTTCTATGCTTCCTTTTGGAATCTGCTCATTTGCAACTTCATCAGGAAGGTCTTCCCTGGCCAACCGATTTCAAATTGCACTCCTCTTTCATAATCTGTATCCCCTCCCCTTACTTTATTTTTCTCCTTGGCCCTTATAACTAACACACTCTAGGTTTTATTTATTTATCTTTATCATTTGTCGTCTTCACAGAATGCCAGCTCCATGAGGGCAGGGATTATTTTATTCATTGCTGTATGTGCTGAAGTAACAATGGTGCTTGGTCCTTGTAAAATACAACTTAAATAATTTTTAGAACTTTAAATAGACTGAAAGAAATCCCACCCAAGCCAAATGTGAAACAATGATTTCTCAAGCACCTAGAAGGTTAGGCTGGTAATAATCCTGGACATGTTTGGTCAGCTGAGGCCCACTGTGTGCCTAGCATTAACTACAGGAAACACAGCAGAAAGTAAGACCAGGCAGCTGCCTCTGAACAATTCCGTCTAACAGCAAATACAAACACTCAGGTAAGCAACTACAACTCAGGGCACAGGTGCCCCTAAGTATGAATTCAGAGCGCTACGGGAACCCAGAAAGGCACGTGTAACCCAGTTCCTAGAAGTGGTGTCCTGTTCTGAGTTCTGAAAGACGAAGAGGAGTTAGTTAGATAGAAGAGGTAGGGTTAGGAGATTTGTCAAGTGGGTGGAGCACAGAAGATGTAGAGGCCAAGGAGAATACAGCTTAAGTTCAGCAGAGGTGGAGATGAGGGAAGAAGGAATCCAGGTTGGCAAGAGATGGGGCTGGAGAACTACTAAACAAGAGACAACATTATGAAGGGCCTAGAAAGCATGTTAAAGAGTTTATTTAGACTTGATCCTAAAGGCAGTTAAGAAAAATTCAAGTGTTTTAAATGAGGTATGACAGAATCAGACTCACATCTTAGACAGATCATCAAGGTTGTAGTACAGAAAATGGGTGAGAAAAAGGAAAAAGACAAAAGACTTGGCAATTGCTTACATAAGGGGGTAAGAAAGAGGGAGGAGTAGATGACTTGAAGGTTCTGGTCTGAACACATGGGCAGATGGAGGTGCCATTTTTTAGACAAGGAACATAAGCAGAGTAGACGGCAGCAAAGATGACAAGTGTGACAGTGCAAGCGGCGTGGGAGCTGCCTGTTAGACAGCCAGGAAGGCGTACTCAGAGGGCACTCTGATAAGAGATCTGGTGCTCTCAGGAGGTCTGGACTAGTTCTTGCAGCTCTTCTGGATTTAAAACCAAGCAGAGCAGCACTGTGCAAAAGAACTTTCTGTGACGCTGGGGCAGACGTCTCACATCTGCACTATTTAACATGACAGTCACGGGCGATGCACGGCTCTTGAAGAGCTACAACGTAGCTAGCGTGACTGAGAGCTAAATTTTAATTTTACTAATTTGGAACCTGTATTTTAACAGCCACATGTACTTAGCGGCCACTGAGCAGCACAGGTTCAGGCAGCACTAAAGGGGAGTGTGACAGCAGCCAGGGAGCTCGCGAAGAGTCTGACGGGCCCAGGGACGGGACTTACGGGCAACGCACAGCATTAACGTCCCAAAATGCTACTTATTTGAGGGGCCGTTTAATTGTAAGTCAAGTGTTTTGAATTTTCAGGCATTAACAGTGCTTAGTAGTTGAAAGTAGTATCTTTCTGATACACCTCATGTTGGCACTGCAATTACCCTGAGGAAAAAGTCTTTCAAGTTTAGTCAAGTTGGCTGAGAAATGATACAAAGTCGGTTGCTTCATCTTCTAAGAGCTCTGCAACTCTGCTGTCGGCTCCACTCTCAGTGACATGGTGGAACAGAGTCTTACCAGGTACAAGCTCACATAAAACTGGTCTTCAGAGTGAAGCACAAGCATCAACGTGCTTCTGAGAGCCAGTGGCAGCTGCGAGGGAAACGCAGTAATGTTTTTTAAAGAAAGAAGAAACATAAGGGGACCAGTTAAGGGTAAGAGAGAAATACATATAGGAGAGATGAAAGGGTGCCACTAATACATGACTTACGTGTTATAAACGTAACGTTAGTGCCACAAGTGCTAAAGGTCAGAGAGTATGAGGAGTTTGGCAGCCAATCACTTGCACAAACAAGCCTTTTGTGATCTGCTTAAATTATAACATCTGTTGATTTTTACAGCATATAAAAGTTCTTATGTTCAACAACTTTAAAAAAATATGCGACAGTAACAGAAATGACTGATCTTGCACTTTGCCAAAGGACAATTTAATTTTATCAAGATTACAAAACCGTACCTGTAAGTCGAGGAATGACTGTTTTGTTGATGACAGCAGACAAGATTTTCCTATCAGAACTATCTTCCTTCCCTGCATCTTTCATACTGCTCTCCATAAATTCTCCTATAGATGTGAACCATGGCATCTGTTTTAAACCTATGGAATCAAACTTATAAATAAAATTATCCAAGTTATAATTGATTCTTAAACATCAGTTTATTCTTAAATAGTTAACTTTTTCAGTAATCACCAGAGCTTTTCTGAGGATCAAAGGAGAATAACCCCACGTTCTAACCCAATGTATGCAGCACCGGCCCACCCCAGCGAGGCAGGACGACACGAGTAAGACATGATGTCCAGGCAAAAGGAAAGGAAGCTGCACTCCATGCATTCACCCTTATCCAGAACAGCCCACTGTGTGCCCAGAGCCTACTAAATGACTAGTACTGTTTGGAGCAAAATACACAACTATAATAACAGCAGCTGAGACAGCCAAAGAATCTGCTTACAAAAATATACTCACATCATGCAAAATTCCCTTCTGGCTCTCCTGATTCTCACTGGCACAAATGTGTACTCTGCATGTGGTTCAGCTTGTTACTAAGCAAATAGCAGACGGCCAATTACTGCTTGTTGACTGACAGCATGAACAGAACTCTGCTGGGCATAACAGACCTCTCAGTTCAGCCTGAGTTGTTAACAGTGAGCTGCTGTCCTGCCAAATGCCTACCACTTTCCCAGGGATAAGCTGGTTCTTATCCTATGAACACTGTACGGCCCTGAACGTGACACAGAGCCTACAGACATGCATGACTAGGGCCGAGGAAGAGAAATGACAGGGATCCATCCTTTACTTGGGTAAACCTTTATTTGCAGCTCTCCTCTCTTCCTAGAGTTTCATTTTTCATTTCTGTTTGCTTAACAACCATGTGGATATCCCACAATCATTTCATTGTCTATAAGGTAAAACTTCCTTCAAAACCTTTTCCCTCTCTGAAAAGTCACCATTTATTTCTATTGATGGAACAGCCATTGTACTAATAACTCAGAATCCAAACCTTAGGGTCATCCTTTGATGTGATGTGTTAGCAGCGTTTTCAGTATTTTACTGATTCTTACTTCGTAACACTGCTTGTAGTCAACCCTCTCTTTCCCTGTCTTTGTCACCCGTCACCCCGCACGGGGAAGACATCACTCTGCACCTGGGCTGTCCAGCAGCAGCCTTTCAGTACACATCTCCATCTCTCCCTCCCTGCCCTCCAAGTTAGCCTACTGCTCAGGGCTTCCTAAAACAGGACCTTAATCATGTCACTCCTCCCATTATCAACCAAACAAGTTCGCAACTCTGCATTTAGGATCTCTACAGTCTCTAGGCTTAACTAACGCTTCTCCCTGGATACCTTCATGAAACACCTTTTCCTTTCTCCCTCTTTCTGTTTAAATCCTGTATGCCCTTCAAATCCTCATTTAAACCCCTCATTTTCATGTCACTTTCCTAACTAAGGACTCCCAATATGTCATCTCCAACTTCAGAGCTTTTGGTACCTAGTTTGAATGTCACTCAGCCAGACTGTGAAATTCTTCGGGTCTAATACTACCTTTACTGTTTTGAGTGATCTTCAACTTAACATAGACGAGGATAAAAAAAAAGTGTTTCCTTTACTGATGTTGCATCCCTCAGCCTTCAACAGAGGGAGAACCAAAGAAAGACGAATGCAGACCACCCCCACCAAAGCACTAATTATCATGTCAATTCCAGCTCTCAAGGTGAGGTATTTTACAGCTAACTTGGTAAACAAGAGTTCATTTAAGTAACTAACGTGATCAAGATTATTTTTTTCACGTGTTAATAAGCACAGTACCTTAAGAGGGTTCCAATCAATCAACTGAAATCGTATTAAGGGATTTAAAAGCTTCGGGATGCATAAACTAACGAAAGCTTCATAATAAGAATCAGGAAACTTTTCTCTCCATTGTTGAAATTTCAGTAAAATGTTCTGGATGTTACAAAAATCATCATGTACATCTTCAAATATCTTCTTACGATCCTGTAAAATGTCACCTGTGAACAAAATGAGTCTCTGTATATCACGTATTTTAAGTCTGCGATCCTTAAGTTTGCTTCCTACAAACACAGTTATGTGTAACTATGTCATCGACTGAGCTGAAAACCTTCCTTTGATGTGAACATGCAAATTAGTGTTCACTAAAAATCACTTTAGTCACAATTAATACTAATAATGTCTACCATCTACTGAGCCTGTGTTATATGCCAAAGCAGTGCAAATACGTTATCTCATTTCAGCATTATAACTATCTTCCCTGTAAGGTAAGTGTTACTAGCCTACCTACCTACTTAAACAAAGAACAGGCAAACGAAAAACATTATCAGATGCAGCGAAGTCAAGGAATCTGCTTAAGATCACACAGAATAGATCCCCTCTTTGAACTCACCTATTTGACTGCAAAGCCGACTCCTTCGACTATACTCATGTTACATTCTCCTAATGTTAAAAAAGGGCTCTACTAAATTCAATTATTTTAAATTCAAAATGATAACACAGAAAGTATGCAGTAGAGAAATGAAACCAAAAATATTCATGGTTCCTTTATAGCAGGTGATGAAAAAGGTAGAGGGTAAAAACTATAAAGATACAGGAATACTTATCATGCTCCTCCACTTTATCCATTTTTCAGCGGTAAGGACAAGCCTGAATTTTCCCAACTATTTTAGATTGCTTACACGTTTAAGGGCAAACATAGCAAAGCATTTCCCATCATTCTGATACTTTAAATCGAGACATATTAGAAACTTGATAACTGACCTCGGCTTTTCTGGAAGTCAGTCATGTCTGCTGAATGTAGTTCATCATCACTAGACGTCCCTTCCTGGTGAGTACAATTCTCCGAAAGTGCCCTTGCTTGTCTTCGTCGTGCCCTATGTTTTGCGAGAAACCAAAAAAGATTAAAAACAAATAGCCTCTGTTCAAGATAAATGCTTTAAAACATAAAGTCATCATTTATTTAAAATGCCGAGACATAAACCATTGTATCTGCACACAACTTTATGTTACCATATTTGACATTTTACCTTCATTAACCTGAATTGGTTCTCCTTCTTTTTGGTAAGACACTCCCACAGGCTACCCAGACTTGGAAGAGGGGATAACAATATAGTTAGGACCGGCTTTTAGTTATGAGCCATTCCCAGCCTGATATATGCCATTTTACCCATTCCTTTTGACTGATTCAAATATATCAGTGTGTCTTCAAACCATGGGGTACAGGGTTGCTTAACTAAATTCTGATTTTACATCACTCTCATAAATTAATATTCTAGATTATGGTTAATTATACTCCTATGGTCAACTGTATTTAAGCAGTGGAAAATACTTGCTCAATGACGTTTTAATGCTGGAGAGGGTGTAGAGAAAAGGGAACCCTCCTACATTGTTGGTTGGAATGTAGTTTGGGGCAGCCATTATGGAAAACAGTATGGAGATTCCTTAAAAAACTAAAAAAAGATTTGCCATATGATTCAGCAATCCCACTCCTGGGCATTTATCCAGAGAGAACTCTAATTCAAAAAGATACATGCACCCCAATGTTAACAGCACACTATTTACAACATCCAACACATGGAAACAACCTAAACGTCCATCAACTCATGACTGGATCAAGAAGATGTGGTGCACATATACAACAGAATGCTACTCAGTCATAAAACATAACAATGCCATTTTCGGCATAATAGATGGATCTGGAGATTGTCATTCTAAGTGAAGTCAACCAGAAAGAGAAAGAAAAATACCTGTGATACCACTCATATGTGGAATCTAAAAAAAAGACACAAATGAAAACAAACTTACGGTGACTGGCAGGGAAAGGGAGTGGGAAGGGATAACTGGGAGTTTGAGATTTCAGATACTAACTACTATATGTAAAATAAGTAAGTTTTTACTCTGTATAGCACAGGGAACTATATTCAATATCTTGTAACCTATAATGAAAAAGAATACGAAAAATGTTTGCATGACTGAAACATTATGCTGTACACCAGAAATCAACACAACTTTGTAAACTGATTATACTTAAACTAAAAAACAAAAAGATGTATGCGTTAAGTCTTTATATAGTTACCTTCGAGATTCAATCTCTTCTAAACTCCACTGACTTTTCTCATCTACAGCCAAACTTCTATTTGTTGACGTCTCAGCTTCGCCTGTTAATTAAAAAAACTGATTTTGTACTAAAAATTCTCAAAAGAAATAGACTGAAACACTTTGAAAACAGAAGTTATACCTTAGGTGTACACACATATCTGTGTACAGAAACACACCCTCACACAGAACATGCTAAAACTGCGTGTGTCACCGTGCAGTGAGGCTGCAGTGCCAACTCCCCGCCCCAGCAGTAACAGGCACTGAGTCTGCCAGCTTCAGAAAGCGCGTCTCGTCTGGTTCACACAGTTCAGCCCTTGGGAACAGCAACAAAACTCTACTACAGAGCTGCTTCTCCCTTGTATTCTTTTCCAGTCGTCTTCACCAGTTTTTCTGTCCTTGTGGTCAAATGCTAGACACATCTGCATTACCAATACGTCATTCGTACCATTTCCTATTTTAGCATGTACCATAATTTATGACCAACTAAATGTCATGTATTTGAGTCATTCTGATTTTGCTTTTGTCAGCTGCTTGATGCTATGGTCTCATTTCTTTCTCTATACACCCTGACAGCACCTTATTCAAAGGCAGACATCTCTGAAAATACAAAACCAGTGTGAGAACTAAAGGGCAGCATCCAAATCTTTCGTAATGAAATCTCACAGATGATTCTATACCTAACCCACCAGACTTTCTTCAGCTTCCATAACCGACCTGTGGAGGACCATGGAGATGCTACAAAGTTAGATTTCTGATACAGTCTATATAGTGATGATGTCATCTCAGTCAGTAAATGATAATATAAATACTTTGTGTCAAATCCTAAATGATTAGAAGTTATAATTATTATTTTTTAGTTTTAGATTTAATTGAAGACATTTTGAGGCCTTGGCATTTTTGGAAGAGGGTAGGTGATAGGTTAGTGGGAAAACACTCAAAAAACATTTTTTATATAAGAGTAAAAATATTTTTATCCTCCACCTGATACTTTAGCTTAATGAATAATAAATCACATTGAACATGAAAAACACTAACATGGTAACTGTTGTAAATACGTTGATTCATGTTTTAATTCATCTTGCCTGCGTTTCATAAAGATCATGGCTTGTTTTAAAAGAAGTGCGTGCATGGCTGATTCTATTTCTTGGATGCTGATAATCTGAAATACATATATAAGTAACATTTTATGGGTCATCATTAGTGAATTATAAAAAAATACTAGTTACATATAAGCATATTATATGTTCAGTTCTCACATACAGAAACATTTTTAATACTATCACATCTCAATTAAAAGAACATAGAATACAGACTTGTGGTTACCAGGGGGGTGGAGGGTGGGAAGGGATAGACTGGGATTTCAAAATTGTAAAATAGATAAACAAGATTACACTGTATAGCACAGGGAAATATACACAAAATGTTATGATAACTCACAGGAAAAAAAATGTGACAATGAGTGTGTATATGTCCATGAATGACTGAAAAATTGTGCTGAACACTGGAATTTGACACAACATTGTAACATGATTATAAATCAATAAAAAATGTTAAAAAAATTTTAAAAAATTAGGAAATAGAAAAAAAAAAAGAACACTGCGAGGAACAGACCTAGCTGCCAATACTTTCAATACTCGTAAAACCAGAAAATCAACTTAATGTCCTAAAACAGCTATAAACATTATAAATAATGAAATCTAATGGGCTGGAGTCAGGAACACGTGTAAGAGTGGATAGATGAGGAGAAGGATGTTTTTTTGAGACAGAAGAGGAGGAAATGACGAACGCAGCTATTTTTCACAGGAGGAGGTGGGCAGACTAGAGGGGAACACTGGAGGAGGCTGGTGAAATTTGAAGAAAATGGAGAATGAAAGACACCTAACCAGGCAAGTCAGAAAGCTGAAGCAGAACTGAATAATTAATCGAAACTGGCATTTTTCCATTTTATGGGCAACAATTCTCCCAACTCTGATGATGTTCCGTATCTGCTGCTATGGATTCAAGCTTTGGCTGTAATTCTTCTACTGAATGAAGAAACTACGTTGTATTAAACACTTCAGAGAGTAACTACCAAGTGATACTAAAGGTACTCAACTTAAAACAGTGGGGGAGGAAATACCCAATCATTTGGTAACACTCTAAAAGGAAATAAAAATGCAGAAAGGAGAGTATTTTTTTAAATGGTTAGCCTACTTAAAAAAAAGACAACTCAAGACCCCAGTGTAAAGACTCAGCATGTGTAAAACAAAAACAGAAATTATAACAGAAAGGAATGATTTATGTATCTAATTAACACAAAAACTTCAAAACATCTGATGTCAAAAAACTGCTGCAAATAAAATCAAAAGACAAAACAAACTGGAAAGTTTACCTACATCAAATAGGATAAAGCATTAACATTGTTAAGCAATAAAGAGCTGTTTATCATATTCTGGCAAAAAAAAAAAAAAAAGGAAAACAAAACAAAACAGAAAAACACCAAAACCCTGGTATGAACCCAAAAGACAACAGGGCAAAGGACATGAACAATTCAAAAGAAGAAAAACCGCATGTGTCAATAAAACAATGGGTTTGTTTGAGAACAAAATAAATACGTAAAAACAAAAACCATTTTTAATGTAGTAAACTAGAAATTAATACAATCTTTCTGGAGGATAATTTAGCCTTAAAGATATTTATACCTTTTGACTTAATAATTTACTTTCTAGTAATTTTTCTTAAACACATGGAATATTAACACAAAAATTTATATATAAAACTTTACACTGCTATCCGTAATTGCAAAATAATAGCAAAAAAATCTAACTGTCCAACATCAAGGAAATGCTTAATATCTTAGTGTGTCAAAATGTGTAGGAAAAAGCCTAGAGGAAAGTATTTAGTTGGGGGATTTAGACTTCAAAAAAATTCACATGGTAAGGGAATTTCTCCACAAAAAAGAAATGGCTAAATATTTACAGATATGTACCTTTTCACTAAGACAGTCAATTAAATTTTCCACATAAATTTTCATGTTCTTATAGAATTTAATATTTAGAGCTTGATTTGATGAATTCTCTAAGTTCTGGATGGTACTCTTTGAGCTCTTGATGTCTTGTATGTATTTTTCATACTCCCTCAGGTGTGAGCGGTGAGTATCCTGCAGTAATGTTAATCTAAATAAACAAAATAAAAACAAATAAAAAGTGCTTTATATTTCAAACTTTGATTTCTACTATCGTAAGTAGCAGTGTAATGAAAATTTTTTCAAAGCTACCTTACAGAGACCACCAAGGAAACTGACAATCACATATAAACCAGGGTTTATGAGACTTGTGGAGCAAAGGAGGACACCGAAGTAACAGAGGTCTCAAAAGGACACTCAGAGGCTTTTAGGTGCTGGAGCTAATCACAGGGTAGTTTCAGAGAAGTCAGTGTGAACTGATCAGAATTCTGTAATCTAGATGAGGTGCTAGAACATCAGTGTCGTCTATCCGAAACACAGGAGTCCACGCGGAGTTACTATCAGATCAGCCTGTGGTCTTCTCTGGAATACAGGTACCTGATCGGGCATTAAAACCACCTGAGCATGTTACAGTTAGCTATCATCTATCTGTTTTGCGACTCAACGGTTTCTGTTTCACTTGTCATTAGAGTCTCATGTTCCCTGAGGAGTGTTTCTTTCCTCTGTTGCTGCTGTAGCCCCTACATCGCTCTGCTGAGTCCAGACAGCGCACCTTCTTTCGCCTCTTATGAGTATCACATGCATCAACTGATGCAACATGAAAAAACTGTCAAATGTAATTTAACATCTACTTATCTTTTAAAATTCACTTATCCCTTACATATACATACCAATGGAGGAATAAGAAACACTTAACATCTGGAATGTGTTTTTCACTACTACTTGATACTGTGAGCACATTACAATTCAAGAATTAACTACAAATAACAAATTCATAGTATCTGGACTTGAATCAGACAACATTTTTAAAATTATACTCCTGCTAAACTCACTAATAAGCACTTGCTTAGGCCAAGTGTCCTCTTCTCAAGTCTCCTTGCAACACTTATTGTATTTGTCTTTCAAAACCTTTCTTCGCTTTATATAAAAAATAGTTAAGAAATAAACCAAGATAATAATGCGTAATAAACATTATGAATAAAGTGCTTTAAGTACAATATTACTGGTTATAGCAGTAAACTTTTAAGTACATATATGAAAAAACAAGGCATGGAACAGGGTAGGTAAGTGAGCTTCATTTTCACATTAAAATGGGGCAATATGCAAGTATATATGTGCTTATATAGACATACACATGCACTGCTTCCTTAAGGAAACATCGGAAGTTGGTAGCAATGGTTCCTCTGGGGAAGATGATTTCCTTTTCTCTGTATAAGCTTTTGTATCATTTGACTTTTTTGTCTTTAAATTGTTAAGAATGGATTTTCTTTTGAAATAAAAAACCTAATTAAAACAAAAGTATACTAAAGCTAAAAATAACATTTATTCAGATAAAGTGAAATGCTAATCTTTTTCAGTGATCTGCTATCTTTTTAATATTCTATTATTCATGCAAGACAATCCTCTCATTCAAACACAATCTCAAAAAAAAAGGAAAAAGTTCTGAGTTATATGCAATTCTAGATGCAACTGCTGTAATTCTAGCTCTGTATCAGAAGAGTAAATGGTAGTGAAATTATTACAAAAATAATCTTTAATCAAGACAATCTCATCATTTAACATCACTATTGAAAAACACTGATCTAGAACAGAAGCTGGCAAACTTTTTCTGTAAAGGGCCAGACAGTCAGTATTCCAGGCCTGCAAAGCTCCACGGTTGCTACTGCACGTCCTCAGCTCTACGCTGCAGCATGAAAGCAGCCAGACAACACGTAAGTGCACAAGACGGCTGTCCTCCAAGAAACCCTCGTTACAAAAACAGGCAGTAGGCTGGTATTTTGCTAATCTCCTAGCATACGGAGATAACCTGACATCTAGAAAATGGTACATCTAAAACTTTCATTAATTTACTGCACTATAAAATGTTACAAAATGTCCTTTTCTATATTAAACTATTTAAATGAACTATGACCAACATACTTTAGTTGCATGTGCTCAAGGAATGAAGCAACTTTAAACCCAATTTATACGAAAGATACAGGAGAAGAAAATTTTGAACCTATTCCCAAGTATCAGAAAAAATTCTCAGGTATTTAAAAAAAAAGAAATTAAAAGATTCTTCACGACTACTTGCTTGGTGGCAGGAGAACCAAGCTCTCTCCTTGTATCAAACGGTGTAAGGACAATTAGACTTTTACTGTCATATTTATTCTTTTACGTATCTAAAGGTGCACACTAGATCCTGACTAGTGAAACAGAAGATGTAAATATTTAAAACAAAACAACCTCTCACAGGGTTTGCCTTATTTTTCACAAAAGGTACTATTTATAGTGAGATTAATATTATTTATTGAAAGATAACTATTAGTTGCAATAGATAATGGTTATTTAGCTGTGCTTCAGAAATGTATTTGTATCAGAAACCATAAAAATATACCTAACTTTTACTGAAGTTAACCTTCCCTGGAAATTTATCTTAAGAACAGTTTAAATGACTTATAGGAACAAAATGTTCATTATCATGGCATTATTTATAATAGACAAATTTAGAAATCAAAATGTCTAAAACAGAACTACTTAAATAAATATCAACTATATAGATGAATGAAATATTACTATGATTATTTTCTACTGTAATCAAAAACATATGACAAAATCTACAATCTTAACCATTTTAAGTACACTGCAGTGGTAGTAAGGACAAGCAGATTGCAGTGTAACAGATCTTTACAACTTTTCCATCTTGCAGAACTGAAACTACACACACTGATCAACAACAACTCACCTCCCCGCACCCTTGGCAACCACCACTCTACTTTCCGTCCCTAAGAGGTTGACTCCTGTAGATGCCTCACGTAAGAAGAATCACGCAGTATTTATTTAGCTTTTTAAACTGGCTCATGTCACTCAGTCCTCCAGGTTCATCCACACTGTAGCATTACAGGGTTTCCTTCTTTACCACTGACAGTATTCCATTTTATGTAAATACCACGTTTTCTTTATCCATTCATTGGCTGATGCCCATCAACAGGCTGCTTCTACCTCTAAGCTATCGCAGTCAATGCTGTGATGAACAAGGGTGTACAAACGGCTCTTCAACTGTTTTCAGTTCTTTAGGTTATATATCCAAGAGCGGGGCTGCTGGATCATATAGTAATTCTATCTTTAACTCCTGCAGAAAAATCTCCATATTGTTTTCATAGCAACCGCACCATCTTACATTCCCACCAACAGTGTTTCCTTTTCTCTACATATTTAACAACACTAGCAAATTCTGTATTTTTCATAGCAGCCACCCTAATGAGTATGAGGTGATAGTTCACAGTGGTTTTGATTTGTAACTCCTTGATATCAGTGACGCTGAGCATCTCTTCATGTCTGTTGGCCACTTGCATGTCTCCTTTGAGAAACGTCTATTCCAGGCCTCTGCCCATTTTCCAGTTGGACTGCTTTTTTGTTGTTGAGTTAAAGGAGCTACTCATGTATTTTGGGTAGTAACCATTTATCACATACATGGTTTGCAAATATTTTCTCCTATTCCATAGGCTGCCTTTTCACTCTGTTGATTAGGCAGCAGCTTTTTAGTTTGATGTAATCCCAATTGTCTATTTTTGTTTTTGTTGCCTGTGCTTTTCTTTCTTCGGTCCTTTTGAGACTCCATGCGAATTTTAGGATTTTTTTCTATTTCTGCAAAAAATGCCATTGGAATTCTTATAGAGATGCCCTGCATCTACAGACTGCTTTGGGGTAATATGAACATTCTTAACAATATTAAGCACTGTACTTCATGAACATGGGATATCTTTCCGTTTATTTTCATCTTCAACATCCTTCAGCAGTGTTATGTAATTATCGGTGTACAAATCTTTGGCCTCCTTGACTAAGTTTAACCCTAAGTTTTATCCTTTCTGATGCTATTAGAAGTGTTTTCTAAACATATTTTTTGGACTTTTCATTGCTATGCATAGAAACAGCTGACTCTCATGTAGTGACTTTTTATTATGCAGTTTTGATAGACTTATTAGCTCTAACAGGGTTTGTGCGAGCGCGTGCACACATACGTGTGTGTAGGTGTAGTCTTCAGGTTTTCCTACATGTAAGATCATACTGTCTGCCAACAGAGATAATTTTACTTCTTCCTCTCCTATCTGGATGTCTTTTTACTTCCTTTTCTTGTCTGAACTCTCTGGCTAGGGCTTCCAATACTTCGTTCAATGAAAGTGACAAGAACAGGCATCCTCGCCTTGTTCCTGGTCTTACAGGGAAAGCTTTCCGTCTTCCACTACTGGACATGATAGCTGTGGTCTTCTCATTTATAGTCATTACTGTGTTCAAACATCCTCAACAAACCCCTAGCAAACTGACTCCAACAGTACATTAAAAGGACCATACAGCATGATCGAATGGGATTTATCTCAGAGATACGAGGACATTTCATTATCTGCAAATCAATCAATGTGATACACCACATTAACAAACCGAAGAATAAAAACCATATGATTATCTTAATAGATGTAGAAAAAGCTTTTGATAAAATTCAACATCCACTTATGATACAAACTTCAGAAAGTGGGCATAGAGAGAACATACCTCAACATACTGAAGGCCATATATGACAAACCCATAGCTAACGTCATATTTAATGATGACAAGCTGAAAGCATTTCCTCTAAGATCAGGAACAAGGCAAGGATGCCCAATCTCGTTACTTTTATTCAACATAGTTTTGGAAGTCCTAGCCACAGCAATCAGAGAAAATAAATAAATAAAAGGAATCCAAACTGGAAATGAAGAAGTAAAACTGTCCCTGTTTGTAGATGACATACTATACACAGAAAATCCTATTGAGGGTACCAGAAAACTACGAGCTCATCACTGAATTCAGTAAAGTTGCAGGATACAAAATTAGCTAACAGAACTCAGATGCAAATCTATACACTAACAAAAAAATTCAGAGACAGAAATTAAGGAAACAATTCCATTTACCATCACATCAAAAATAACAGATACAAAATTGTAAACTGACTATACTTCAATTAAAAAAAAAGTTTAA